GCAGACAGACTGTAGCACTTGAGGTGTGTGTGTGTTGGTGAGAGTGCGTGTGGGCCCACAATATTATTTGATTATTTTGTTTCTGTTGAAGTAGATACCTTACCATTGTTTAACAAACTTTATCTATTTTACTTATTTTCTTTTGTGTTGTTAATTAATCATTCACTAAAGTGGAGTTAACTTTATAATTGACCTGCTTGTGTGTGATTTATTTCCATATAGTGTAGTTTTATTGCATATTTTATACCATAAGCATTAAAAAGGAAGTATCAGTAGAAAAGTAACAACAGGAACCCAGGGCCCCTCTCATTAGAACGTGGGACGGGTGTTACATTACGTTACTATTCTATGTGCTTCATTTGATCTTAATTATCTACATTATATGTTTTCTTAAGTTCATTCCTAAAGGCAAATCAACTTGAATGTTCTCCATGTCTCTGTGCTTTATCACACCTAATTTGACTGGTCTGATAGTTTAAGCAACGTGTGTTTGGGTGATCACAAAAAAAATTTAAGTTAATACTGCAAATATACACAATCTAAGGTATTACAGTTATCAAGGATGTTTAAGTTTGTTTTAATAGGGAGAGAGTAAGCCTGTTCTATACTCCTGTCTGGCTCTTCCATGAACATGATATTCCAGTTCTAATTTTTGTTCTTTCTTCTTAATTTAAGCTTCCAGATTCATTGCCTGTGGTACTGACACATAGTCAGTGCTCCTGTGTGCCAGGCACTGTTACGTGCAGTCACACAGTGGCACTGCTCTTCTGAACAGCACACTACTCACAACTCAGAGTGCCGGTCGTCCCCCCTGACCAAACAATGTGATTGGTCACTTGCAATGTTGAACCTGGAACAACATTTTCATGATGATCTGGGAACAACACCAACACGACGATATCAGATCATCCATTAACACATAGTGAGTGAGAAAGGTGACTGGAAAGAAAAAACTCAATGCATCATGGGAATCCCCGGCAGCCTACGTCTATTGCAGCATAACTAAGGGAGGATTCAGGGTCACCTGGTCCAGCCCTAACTATATGCTTT